GCGCTGGAAGCCGTTACGAACCATGCTTTCATTGAGAACCGTGAGTATGGATTGGCTGCTTTCAAAGAAAAATTCCACCGCATGAGATTTTGGAGGTTTTATTAAATGATGTCATATGCCGCAACTTCATGTTGAAGTTTACCTCGTTCACAAAATGTTTGAAGACAAATTTGGAGTGTGCGTCTTAGGATCGATGGCTGCAATGTATCCGTTGAATTCTGTTTACAAAAGTCTCGTCAGGACGGATTCCGAATCTTTCAGTGTTGATTTGCTGCTCATTAAAAGTAAACCGAAATTAATTTCGCCTAATCAATGGGAACTTCAAATTGGCGGTTTTATTCGTGGAATATACTGTTCCACAAACTATGGTCATATCTGCTTCAAGGGAGAATACTACACTGGATAAGGCGTTCCAACCAGGCTGATCATTCCGAGTGAGGCTAGGTGCTACCTACTCTTCTCCGGCGCCGATCTACATTTGTGTTCCTCAAAGCTCCGTTTGCGACTTCTGCTGCTTCTGATATACACAAACGAACTTCTAGATGTCCTCTGAAGTCCATGTCTACTTTTGCGGACGACTTGAAATCCTGGAGTTTCAATGCCAGTGCCCTCCAAATGGATGTAGACGCTGCCAAGCAGTTGTCGTTGGACTGGCACCTTCCTCTGAATGACGAAAAGTGCGTCCATACTTCATTTGGATGAGACTTAGTGAATGCCTTTGTTATTCATGGTCGGAAAGCACCAGAAAACATCATGAGGATAGATGCCAAATAAGATTCGGATATCTGGGTCTCCTTAAATTTGTCCTTATTACTGCACCATGAGAAATCGACGCAAAAGGCATTCGCCATTTTACAGATGATGCGACGCACCTTCTCCCGTATCATTCGCCTGGACCTCCAAATACTCTATGAGGCCTACGTCAGACCGCCCCTGGAATACGCCAACCAACTTGTCTACTATGGACGCACGAAAGACGTCACCCTCATTGAGCGTGTCCAGCGAGCCGCTACGAGAACGGTTACCGACCTCAAACCATGGACTACCAGACGCGTCTCGCGGTGCTTGACCCCCTTCCTCTGGAGTATCGTGGCCTCAGATGGGACCCAATCCTTATTCAATTACTGTTTAAACAAGGCTTGGCCAACAGGTTTTTCACCACTGACCCAGCAACCGCACGGCGGGGGCTTGTTAAGAAGATCTTCAAGCTCAGAATCCACCCATTCATTAGGCATAATTGTTTCTCATTTCGGGTATTAGAATGGAATGGGCTTGAAATAACCTTCCTCCGACGGTTGTCCACGCTCCTTCTAGAACCCGGTTTAAATTGTTTTTAGACGCTTGTTTTTGCACGTCCTCGCGCCGGCAAGCATAATTCTCTGCGCTGAGAACGTGAAGAGCAGTGCTACACCCCTTTTTCACTTGTACCTTACCGGTGACCTACAGCCGCTGAACGACAAGAACAAAGCCGATCGGATGAAACTTTGGCAAAGGCCTCGATCCTGTGTATTAATCCGTGATTCCGTGAATGAATGCAGGATTCAGATGGTAAATGGATACGTTATCGTGCTTTCCGCCTAGTTGTTCCATAATAGAATCCACGTATGAAACAATGCTCACTAGATACAAAACCTAATCGACCAGTATTCACGAAATGCCGGTCGTTCAAGGAACGACAAACATGGTGACACAACTTTCACCGAATTGTTTAGCTGCGTTGATTCTTGAGGTCAAAAAGGCCTAACCTTCCGAAGTGGCTATCCGTTTTCGGGGGTGTAGCGTCTTTCAGTGCGGAGATCTGTGGAGTGATTTCTCATGGTAGAGTTGTCTAAAGCCCTCGAAAACGAATCCGAAATGCGTTTGTTTGGAGGGAATTCTGATATCCACGAGAAGGTATGTAGTTCTGAGAGCATTTCCCTTTGTTTACAGAGGTGCATGAAATTAAGGATTTTCAGCGTTTTATCTTAAATGACATGGAATTACTTAAGCACCTGTCCTGAGAATAATTTTATGAGAAGGTGATATTCAAGTGATTGGCACGTACCATAAAATCCGAAGTGAAGCATTCGCCCGTCCATAAAATCCGAAGTGAAGCGCACGACTTGCAAGACTACATTAAATATGGCGCCTCTAATGAATTAGAGAAATTGTTGACACTATTCTTTCGAATTTATTTACAAGGTTTCTATGTATTCCTTCATTGAAACAAAGTTATCCTAGACTGGAAAATGGCATCTGTCGTACCAGTTCACCAGAAAGGTGCTGAAAGGACTCGTATGACTATCAACCCACAAGCTTCTCCTCTGGAGCAATACGAGATAATATTGTCTCTCGCCGAAACGGTATTCGGTCGATGAGTGCCAACCAGAATCAGTTTATAGAAAAGCGTTACTATGCGACCATTATGGTTTGTGGATGCTATTACAAACAACGGCAAGAGCTATGGAACCTGTTTGATTGAGTTTAGAAAGCCTTCGGCACGCTGAATTGGAGATTGCTGAGACCACTCCAATTTGGTATATGTAGGTCAACCAGTAAATGTTTAAAGGCACTTTTAGTTTGACAATGCCTTGTCGTTCAAGTGGAAGGGCTAAGTCAACACCTGGATTTTTCGAAAGCTGGGTTCCAATTAGCTTGCCACTTGGGAAATCCGTGTTCGTAGGCGAATTAGCGAGGGCGCATACTACTCATGATATGTTTGCAAATGACGTAAATGTACTTGACAACCCTCGAATTCCGGATATCAGAAGGATTGACGCTGTCTCGAAAAACAAAAGACAGGCTAGAATTCTCTACTCATTGTGGCGATCTCTCAGATCCTGATTAAAGATGAAAAAGCCTTTCCTACTATCTCACTGAACTCGGGTGCATGTTAACACAAGAAATAATCAGTCTCGAAATCTTCAATGAAGGTCGCACTTACAATCTCTTGAAGCTACAGAAAGAGTCACTGGGTTTTGACATTTGTAAATTTCAAGTGCTTTAATACATTTTGAAGATATTATTATCCATAAGGAATATGCATTCAGATGCAGGTTTTTAGGGCCACCAAGGCCATTTATAACGAGGTATAACGGGGCGTTTTGCAAATATGAATATAAAAAGCTACGAAACTGGGTTGGCTAAACTCAGTATCCTTCCATTGGAGCACAAAACTTTAGGGTTAACATGTGGATATTTAGAGCATAGGGGAAGCTTACCCTTGCGGAGCTGAAGCATCAGTTGGGAAGAGCATCATTATGAGACAAGGAACCAATGTGTCTAGTATTGTGAAAGAATGCACGTTTGCTGTGAATGCTTTGCTAATGAAGGTCCGATTGCTGAAGTTAGCTTTCTGGAGAAGTCACTTATTCTGGCATCTAACAACACCCGTTTGTCTGCGATTTTCTCCAAGCAGTGCTGGAGATCCGTGTTTCAACTAATGCCAGATAATCGAGATTTCTTATATATTTTTGTATTGTTCTTAAAAAATGTCCAGATGTAATAGTTTTGTTGGCCTTTTTATCGTACATCTATAGCCTGTTCGCGCAATTTCCACCTTGAATTTTGTCTCCCTGATTATCACTACGCTTTGTTTTATATGGTGGCTCTATAATCCTAAGAGAGATAGTTGCAAGTATTACCTAATGTATTCGCCCAACAGGAAAACCAAAAATGCCCTGAATAACTGAAAACGTACGTCTAAGTGTGTTGGCATTCACTCGTACACAAAAATAAAATCTCCGTCTGAATACACATGGATTACTTCGCTGTTGCATCACATGTTGCAGTTTGTATGTGCAAGAAACTGGACGATATTTAGCCTTGCTGTGGCGCCCTAAAATCTAAACTGAGCTGAGACAAATTTCGCTATGCAACATAGTATAGGAACACTAATGCAGATGCGCAGGAGATTGTGAAGCAACAACACTTGTGGTGGAGCTGTCGGGGATATCACGACTAACTTAATATTCCAATTCCGGTTTCAGGTGGTCGGGTTTAATAGGCAGCTATTTCCCACCATTTTCCTGTGCAATATGAAACGCAGCACAAGAAACTGTTTAACCGATTTTGACTGCATTGGTTAACTTGAAGATTTTCTACTCCTTTGCTCCAGTCTAACAGCTTGTGGCTCACCATGTACATGTCTTTACGCCCCTCGTTATGAAGTTTACATCTTTCTCACTCTTTTGTGTAAAGGTTTTTATACCACTGTCTGGAGCCAAGATTGTGCTTCTGAACCATAAGTCTAACTGCCTAAATAACTGAAAAAGTTGGCTGGTTTACTTCTCAGGTGCACGGTAACTAGGCTAGTGATTAGTAAGCGATACGAACAGGCAACCGTTTTTTCTGGTTGACTCAAATAATAAGGTATGTGGGCATTTTTGCCCATCAGAATGCGATTCAATATTGGAAAAAATGTAGATAGTCGCTCAAAGCCCGTTTGACTTGGTCTAAATTGGGAGCCTTGAAGATTGGATTGAGCGGGTTTTTCATGAATTTCTATTCTGCATAAGGATCAAGTGCGCATATAAGCGGAAACATCCCAACTGGAACTTGTTCAACTACTAGCCTACAATGGAAAACGTGAGCTTATAGATCCAAGCTGTGCTGAATGCTGTCTGAGGCTCAATTTATACACTGTTTGTTATGGACAGCGAAGAATAAGTGCGATTTTTGACATCACAGTTATGTGGCCGTAGTTACATCACGGCCTATTGAAGTTCTTCAAATAGGACAGGTTTACAAGTCCCAAAAGCCAAATGAAAGTTGGTCCAACCGTACCAGGCAGATAGGCTTCTTCCTTCTGTTTTGTTTATTTATTTACGACGACTTTAAAGTGACTAGCAGCTGTACGCCAGTAAAGCATCGTCAACAATTATGCCAACTGCTATACTGACGACAAATCTATCAGCCTACGTTTAGCCATAAAGCCAAGCAATTCCGAACATGTAGCGTGTTTCCCACATAAAGCCAAGCAATTCCGAACATGTAGCGTGTTTCCCACCGCTCAAAACTCAAGCTGATTTATAGTACTATAATAACACACGATGTAACAGTGAATGCCGGAGGGTCCAGAGGACTCGTTTGTCTTTGCCAAATTCCGTCCTTGTGTTATCCTTACCCGTTTCACCGCCCTTTGTCTGCGCTCCAACATCCCAACCCACATCTTGTTCTGCTACGGTCAACATTCATTACGTCGTCACGGCCTTAGGAATTAGTCACTCAGAGAGGATTTGACCCCAGTCAGACCCCGGAGGCGGGTATTTGATTACGATAAAAAATCGTTTCTTCCAGCCCTCTATGGTTTTCTACTGTATTTCTCAGTTTTCACTGCTGTCCACATCCTGCGATTGGTTGTGGAGTGTCGTCAAGTTTGTGCGCTTGAGATCCTAGTTGCCTGCATTTAACGAAATGACTTGAACTGTGCTCTAACCGAAAGTTGTGCAAAAATGGTGTTACAGGAATGAATAGCCCAAAATTTGTTTTCTCTCATGGTGTAAAAATTAACCACATGACGATATAATTTACAACTACCGAGATGTATATCAGGATCTTGCTTAAACCTGACCCAGGGTCATTGGACGATGGTAGTTTCGCAACTCCTAGCTCTTCAGATCCTGGTATCCCATGACATGAACAGTGGATAACTAGCACGATTGTAAGACGTAAATTTTGATTCCCACGGTAGAGGCAGAAAGTGATCCGCTCTACTGCCTGCAAAATACTTTACATTTAACACCCATCACAGGTGACCTAAGTAAGAGTTATATGATCGTAATGGTCGGCAGCGCATCAGACAAAATAAATTACTTGGTAGACCCGATCCTACAAAACAAACCCACAAAGCAAACTATTGGCACTGGTGCATGTGTTTTGTTCTAGAAGAAGGTTATTCAGCATTCCGTTTTGAGGGGTACGTTGAGCTAATTCATAGTTAATTTGTTCATCAAGCATCCTAATATGTTCAGTACATGAAAAAAGCGTTATCAGTTAGACAAAATATCCACGTTATCATGGAAACCGTTATCGGCAAGTTTGCTAAGAACAGCCAAAGTCAGAACTGCTCACTCAAACCCCAGGAAACATACCTCAAGTCTGTAGCAAAGAAGAGGTGAACTGAAATGCTTCTGTAGAAATAAAATTCGTGCGGACATTTGTATGTCCTTTATAGACAGTATTCAGCAAAAGACTAGAAAGGAAGTTTCCGGAAGCCGAAGAAACTCGAGTGCACGATTTGACGGTAATGTATTGCGATAGTGTAGTGACCTCGAAGTAACTCAGCGGTTAGGGCGGGAACTTTCTAACCGAAACGTCCATGGTTCAACTATAATATCTGCACCTCGATAGCTCCTGTCTAGGCTTGAGAACCCTGGCAGTATCTCGGTCTTCGTGCTTTCTTCGAGAGGCATGGCAGCTATACCCCAAATGGGCGTCACGACCTTAACCAATGTGATGTAAAATAACCGATTAGGCAGGGACAAGTTTGGGAGTTCGATTAAAAGCGTGTCTTCGTGCTTCTTCGAGAGGCATGGCAGCTATACCCCAAATGGGCGTCACGACCTTAACCAATGTGATGTAAAATAACCGATTAGGCAGGGACAAGTTTGGGAGTTCGATTAAAAGCGTTGCGGTGTTTAGGAAAGAAGGAAGTTTTGGAAGTATTTTGACTTTCTGAGGCTATTTTACGTCTGAGGACTGCGAATCCAAAACAATTCACGCAACCGCCATGACGTAGCAGTTGATTGTAATCGGGAAACAGTAAACGTACTGCTTCAATGTGAAAACCAGCTCCGCAGACTTTATAAGTTCAACCGCGGTGCGATATAAAGTAATCACCAGAGTGCATTCGGTAGTGTGGGGCGCGTTTCGAAAAGAGCAGCTCTTTCGTGGATCTTTTCAAAGACCGCCAGATGGAAGTATTTACTTGCTCCGTCATCCCGTCGAGGGTAACTCAACAACTAAGGCTTTTCAAATTTTAAACTTGATACTTTTGAAAAAGTTTGATAATGAATAAATCACTTTTAAGCTGCGAATTCAAAAAACATTCAGGGTCTTTCAGCTGGCAGAAAAGCTCTTGTTCAGTTGTTTTATTGAGAATGAACCTTTCGGTGTAAAACGCATTTCGAATAGCTGTGGAGTGCAGAAAACACTGTGATCTTCGTCCAGTATATAATGCAACTGAACTTAAAGTGTGTAAAACCTGTTTTCCTGACATTGTGGACCACAGTCGTATAGTTATTAAGTTCACTAGCAACTTGGACTGTAGCGCAGCCATTTTGCGGCGTCAGTTGTGGGTTTTGTACTAGGTAATCATGAAATAGTATCCCGAGCCGAATAGTTATTAAGTTCACTGGCAACTTGAACTGTAGCGCAGTCATTTTGCGGCGTCAGTTGTGGGTTTTATACTAGGTAATCATGAAATAGTATCCCGATCCAATGTACATCAAGCCAATAACAATTAACACTTATTTCCTTACAATGGCTTGTAAGTCGAGTTGCGAAATTAAAAAAATCAAACCAATCCACTTCATTGTCGCTAGACGATCAGCCTATTTTTTCCATAAGTTGGGCAGTCGCAACTTGTTTACACTTGAAGAAGAGCGGCATCCAGAGAGGAGGAATAATGAAGGGTTACAAGGAGACTGGAATCGGAAATCACCTTTATGGCATGTTTGAGGTTACGTTTAAATGCAACTGTAAGATATATATACTGAATTTCCCGGAAATATCAACCAACGTAGTGATACCCAAACAGGTTAGATGTACCAATATGAATGATCAAAGGCCTGGAGGAATTCACAAGTACCACCAAACCGCGGACCATATATACAAAGCAGCTCATGTCTGTCATGCGTTATCGGTCTACGTACAAATACATACCGTTTCGAAACATCCTGTTTAGATAAATTTAGGAAGGCTGATGACGTTTGAAGCTTTTAAATGTTGATGTCACTTTCGTGTGACACACCCCCTGTAACAGCACCTTTGAGATTTCCGACCAAAAAGACAAGAGCGCGTTTTCAGAAAATGGTATATTGGCGTCGAATTCAAGGTTGAAAGGCAGGTGGAATGTTGTTCAGGGATATGTGAAGCTGAATTCGTTTAGATTGCCGGGTAAGGATATTGTATTTACTGGCTGCGGTGAAAATATCCCTGGCATAAAATTACCCCCGTTGTTTGCGTATCTCCTCTGAAGATAGAAGAACTTTGTTGCAGTCGCATTTAATCCAACACTTTTTTGTCGCGATTTGCAAACTGAACATAGTAGAGTCCCCGAGTCTAACTTATGAGATCCGGTAGAGCAGATGGTATCCAGTTTCTTGAGTGTGATCAGCCCTTTTAGTCCGTCATTCTAGTAGTGTGCAAACAAGATCTTTCCTCACTGTCGTGATAGTCATTGTAATTAGCGGTGTTCTTACGGTGACTTCTAGGGTTGGCAGCTATATTCAACTTTGCAATCAAATCCAATAAAACTTGAGTGGTACTTGTAATAGTGGCCAGTGATTGTGGTCAAATTCAGAAGCAGCGTCCATTAGGATCTACCTACCTGATCGCAAGGTGATCGTAAGCAAAAACTTTCGCCTTTGGTTTTTATCTTGCATTTATTTACCCGTTTTCTGTCTTCTGAAGCTATTAGGCTTCTGTTTATTATCCCAGGCTGACTCTATACTGACCCAAAACATTTTTGTGCAATTAATACGAAGCGATTTTGTTTCTTCGTAGAATCGATCATGTTTTGTGAATCGGAGTGTGTTCGTTTTGACGTTATTCGATAAGGTCTCTAAAGAAAGACTATGGGAGGCTGAAAAAAGCGCTCGCCGTTTGATTGTTTATGATTTTTTGCTTCTGAAGTTAATGCGGCCCACCAAAACTCCAATGAATCGGTCACATTTGGAAAAATGTGTAATTTCATGGTTAAATTACGTAGCTTGTTGACACGCACTATATTCAGCAGGTGCTGTTACACGCATTGAATGTTAGGACAGGCTAATTTGTCTGCATTCCTGGTAGTAGTTCATTTCAGCGGGGACTGCTGTACATACATAAGAAGCTTTCACGAAGTGAATTTCCGGAAGTGCATTTCTGCCAATTAAATCTAAATGTTTTGTGACCAGACGCATGAACCAGGCGGACTCTAACTTACGGATGATTCCATCTAAGGCGACCATTTTAGGAACTGACCAACACGGCTTTTACTACCAGGTGGTCCCTTCTGGGAAGAAGAGTTCGATTGGAATAAGATTCTACGTGATGGGCTTCCCTGATGGAAGGTGACTGTACGGAACACCTGTTGTAAGGCGCGTCTTTCAGACAATTGCCATTATTTCTTTTGTAAACTATTTCAGCTGCAAAATGAATACTGGGAATGCTACGTTGATCTGCATCGATTTATCCAGTCAACAACGTCTTTGGTTGCTACGCTCCTGAGAAAAGTACAACAATACAGGCATATTGAACTCCAAGCATTGTCATCCAAATTGACCGACACGCTGCATCAAGTTCAGGTATGTACACTATATTTTTGAAAGAGGATCTAGAAATGTTTTTCAGGTTTGGGGTGATCGTCCAGCTCACCTTCGAGGCAGCATTCATTATGGTGCCTGGAAAGCAGCGTAGGTAGCAGTCTACTAAGAATGTGTACAGGAAGAACACTTGGGGCTCTGAGGTACTTTGTCCCTCAATGCCTTTAGGGTGAACTGATCTGCTTCTATCAGCCGCTGAATACCATGTATGGAATGCGGAACTCATGTTTGTTTTTTGGCAACCTAACTTTCCCTGACTAATTCCTACTGGATTTAGTGGACCTCTCAGAGTTCGGCAATATTACGGAGGACGTGATTCAGCTCCCACTGAAACTAATACCAACTTGAACAACATGCCTTTCAATTTTATGTTTAGTGCTTTTGATTAGCTGCAGTGTATTAAGAGTGTAGAAAAGAGTGAATCTCTTCAACAAGGCAAGCGGATTATCCTGTTATTCATAGTGACAGCATACAAAGAAAGATTGGCCCACCGGTAGATGTGAAGTGTATGTTAGTATGTGAGGTAGTATGTGAGGCATAGTATGTTTTTCCTACTGCCGGCTGAGGTGGACCTGGAAAGCCAATAGGTAGAAACGTAAACAGTGTCCAACCGTGAGACCATAAAATTCACTACAGTAGTCATTCTTTGCCAGTGGAGCAGAAATCAAGTGAATCTTGAGAAGTACATACGCAAAACGTAACAGGCCGATGGCAACACACCGTTTTTCTGTTGCGTCACCTGTTTGTCTCAAATGTCGCGGTGGAACTGGATAGAGAAGCCAAAATTCTATGTCAAAATTTCTTATGACCGGAATATCTCTGGTCTAGGCGACGCACTGTCGATTCCCTCCATAGTGCGGGCTACGGAGTGGCGACGCCAATCCATCCAAGCTGGTTGTAAGCGGCAATTCACGCTGAGGTTGTTCGAGGACCATTGACAACTTCGGATTTTGGGTGAACGGGTTTGTTCTTCGGAACAAGTACCCTCGTCCTGTCAACAGTCTTACTCTCCACGATCAGTTCACCTTTTTCAGTCTCTATTTCCGATTTCCAATACTTCACTTCTGAACCCTTAATTTGACGGGCTTTTGATCAAATCTACCAGACGCCCGATATGTAACAGGGAAACCGCAAATTTCCTTCATTTGTATGACCAAGACGCACTTTTCCAGAATAATTTCCGTCTTAAAAATGATGGCATTAGATAACATCTTAACTTCAGCATTTGTAGTTTTTATAACGTTTATTGTATTCTTGAACTGACTATGCTACACAAAGTCAACCGCATGCCCCAGTCGGGACAACACTGAAGATGAGAAGGGATTTTTAAGTACTACTCAGAAGGTCAGTGAAAACTCTTGCTAATCTGTAGCCGTGAATGTTTGTCACAACGTATGTACAATTTGGTCTGCACGCAGAAAATAAAATTGGTGAAGCTTCGGGAACTAGGCCTACGTGAGTAGCCCCCGGAATGATGAACGGACTGATAGCAAACACGAGGTTTATGAAAACATGGATAATGCGCTGAATTCCGACTAGAAGGTTGGCAACGACGAGTTTTATTTCCAGTTTCTCTCACCATTTCTAATATGCCGAAACGGGTGACGTCAAACCCAGGTTGAACATTTTAGTCCGGGCGAAAAACAAGAATCGTTTAACTGAGGTACCCCTACGATGGATGATTGTCATGCATTATGGTGGATGCGCAGAGGATCACTACCAGGCTGCCGGTTGCAGACAGGACCGATCGATAATCTTGGGGCTGAGTTCACTTGTTCCTACTCTACCTTGACCTGAACCGAATACTATTATGAAGGCGAAACAGAAACTTTTGGGAAAAATCTGTCGTCAATTAAAGCATGCATAACCTCATCATCCCTTTGCTGATTGTACGACAAAATGTTTTTGTTGATGGACGATTCAGCCCGCTTTTCGAGGCAAATACATGAAATTTCTGCCCATACTTCGCAAACAATGCTGAATGAGGGTTTGCTGAATTTTATTCCACTACCCGTTTTTTATAAGCTTACCAGTCTCCGAGTCTCTAGTTGGCTTACGTTCTATTTGGATACCAAGTTTTACGCAACTGGCAAATTAAGATTACCTGAAAATAGGACTCATTAACTGAAGAACCAATTGAAGCCCGGTGTAATCTCTCGCTTGTAACACCCTCATACTGCTGCACAGATGCCGCCACAAGTTTCATTCGGTATTCCACATAATGAAGTATAAATCCTCAACAGAACACATCCTAAACGAGGGCACGGCTGGGATTCAGTCATCCATCTGACCAACTTTTTCTGCAAGTGACTGTATTACATGAAGTGATTTGTCCTGTTTAAGTGTACCACATAACAGTAACACAGTCTGATATTCTCAGCAACTATGGATCTACAAGGAAATCCTTGAGAAACAGCCGATGTACACTAATAATGATATGTCTCTATTTCAGGGTCTAATGCAGAAATTGCTGAAAATCCAAAGCAATGTCACCCGCTTTGACCGGGAATACTGCAGCTTGGACTTGCGTCTCTCCTCAACTTTCCCTCGCCAGCGGTGGCTCATTACACCACGCCCAATTCAAAATAAGCTCTTGGTAAATGGAAGCCCTAATCGACAGAAAGAGGTATGGACTTTTATCCAAGCTTTCGGTGATCATTCAGACGGTAACTGTGAATAATTTATCACTTTGCATGTACCTATCGACATCCGTCCATCCACCCTCTAATGGTGTCTTTCACAAAAATGGATAAGCCCCCTCCTTTGTGTGGATATATCTTACGTCAACTTCCATTTAAATGTTGTACGGGTAATAATCCTTTTCAGAAGATTTCAGGAAATGCAATCTTTCTATCGGTGAATCTGCCCAAGAAGTTTATTGCGTCTAGATGGGGTATACCACTCATAAGGTTACTGAAAACTCTGTGACAGCCCACGACACGTTTTTCCTTTCTTGGAGCTCTTCACGTAGACGCAGTCCTTCAAATTTCTGTAAGCCGCGTCTGCTACCTGGGCCAAAACTGGACGCTTTTCACGAATTACACTCATCTGCACATCAGTCTGGTTTTGACAGGAGAAAGCTGGATCCAGCCCCGAAAAGGGCAAAAATGGTGAACCAGTGAATGCGGCATTAAGTGTATTCTTCTACTGCCCTTGCACCACCACAACGTCTGGCAACAGAACAATTGACGTCACATAGAAACGTGGGCTTAACTGAATGGTGAGAAAATGCTTGACATCCTGACAGGGGTAATATCGATTGAGCTTATCGGGAACCGCTTCTCTGTTGTTCTCAAAAATTGCAACTTGACTGAAAGAATCATTGGACAAGGCAAAACGAAAGTAGACTTTTAAGGTCAAGTAAAACGTACTCTAGTACAAAGCCAGCCAGAATGCCAGCAGCGGAATGAACAGAGTATTCTGTTTTGCATACAAGCGTAACCTGTTTCTATGCTCATAACCAAACTCTCTGGGTAGACGGCACTGCAGCCGCGAGATGACTCAGTGGTTAGATCTGTGGTTAAAAACCGACCTCTGTATCTCGACTTTCCCTGTCTATGCTTGGAAAATCTGGCAGTATTCCAGCTCTCGTGCTTCCTCCGGTGGCATGGCAGCTGAGAACTGAAAGGGGGCTACAGTCGAACGATTTTAATTATCACTGTAGCCGCAAAGGTACACAAGGTCAAACTATCCACTTTGAAGTAGCCATCTTTGTAAGACTGTACTTTGACAAACTGAAGCTAGTGACGCCTAAAATCTTCTTCTTTCATGCCTCATGTTCCGTGCTAGGATTAAATCAATCAGTCTGACTGCATCGACCTCCGATTGATCCGGCGAGAACAAATGATACTACCAACACGTGAACACAGTTCACTTTTCTTCCTGTTTGACTTCTGCTGTGTAGTTTCGATTTTGCTCTTTGTTCGTTTATTGATTTCAGATTCCTGGAGTAACTTGGGACGTGTCGTAAAGATATATGTGCGCTGAATTTTATGCAATTTTATGCACTTTATAAAGATCAACTTTACTTTTCCCCCTTAGCCAGAAAGGTCTAACAGCCAAATGACACTAGGCTGACTGAAACCTCCCTCGGCAAATTACTTCAAGTGAGACGGAAGAAAGTGTGTTTGACCTTTCCTGTTATTCGACCAGTGTCCATAAGATTTCGCAAGTTACAACAGATACTGTTGTCAGGTGAAAGGTTCTTCTTCGTGCAGCTATCTCGACAAAAAAAGCTGCTACTTTGAAGTGACAGTCGGGATTGTATGTTGCCACGATCCAGGGCACCGCAGTCACCAGAACTTTGCTAGAAATGCTGACGGAGACCGTCAGACGAAGATCAACCAATACCCACACATATTGCAAACTGATATAGATTTTCGAAGTCAAGATGAGGAGTACTTCCGTAAGTATGGAAACAAAAGATGGCAAGACGAGTCGGAAAGTGGTGGTGACGATGACCACTAGTCAGTTACTCAACACAGTCGACCAGGCAGCTGGGAATTTTATGTGACTTTCGCTGCATCTAGTCTGCGCATGAGAGCTAAGAATTTGATAGTCCCATCTTCCGCCTTGCTTAACTGAAAAAGTTTCCTTTTGTCCGGATTGTGTAGACTCAGACCACTAGCTGGACTGTTACCTATTGGGTCAGCATTATAAGTCAAAAGCTCAGGGCGTGGATTCTAAACTCATCCTATGACCACTGCAACCGGCACATATTCTGTCACCACGACAATGGCCTAGGTGACAGGTCTAATTAGATTGCATCTCTTTCGATTACTCTTCAGCACTGAATGTTTCTTTTTTCTGTACCAACTCTATTCGGATCCCGTCGAAAACCATTGGTATATGATTCTTCGTGAGTTTCAAAGACTTATTATCTACCTCCAGTAACTGAATTACAGATATTCACCATACCTGGCTGTGCCCACTGATCAACCCTGTGTTCCTTTGAAGACATGTTGGAAGGAAGTTTCCGTTTGGAATCTATCACAAAAAACGCTAATTTCCTATGTCCTTTAATGCTTTTGGCTAATTTTGTATTTCTTTCAGATGCTGTCTATGAATAAATCTGTCTCCTTTTTAATGTCTTTGACAGACTGCCTCCAGCGGTACTTTGGTTGACGCACTGGATCTGATTGGCAACGGTAAACCCCAAAGGATCTCCCCGATTAAGACTAACTGTGGTTTAGATGCTACTGCCGACTCGCTGAACAAACGATATTCCGCACCGTTGGGATGTGCTGAAGTGCAGCAAGCTCTAGCATCCAGGTTTGTGCATTTTCAAAGCGAGTAAGTACATAAGTGCAAAGATGAGGTGACGGGTTTTTGCTATTCACATAGACGATTTCTACAACAAATTACCTGTTTTATCTTGTGAGCCATCCTGATGTTTCCAACTGCGTTAACACCACCATAGTTATATCCCTTAACTGAGGATTCCTCTAGCAAATAGTCTTCTTGAACTTTCATTATACCATACCCGCTTAAAAAACTTGTGGAAGTCCAGGAAAGACACACCACATCTTAGCAATTAGTAAAATGCGTTTGCCTCAGCATGATCGAAGTTTGGACTCTCTTTAACTAATCGCTTTTCCTGACGCTCACTGCTAGCGGAACCAGTAACCGAGGTTGATATTCATGAAGAACTATTACAAAAACATCTGTCAGGAAAAATATGACTGCTTGTCTCTCGTGGAGTGTTAACAAAGCTAAATAACCTGCAGAGATGTACACATTTGTGTTCTCTCACAGTATCGTCTAGACAAGTGATTATCAAACGGGTAGTACTCTCAGTATACCGCGAGAGGTCTTTCCCTGCCTCGGAGCGGATCCCACCAAATAGACTACGAGGTGTAGGATGCACAGACCGTACCGCTGGAGCTACCGACACGGCCTGCGCGATAGAATTAGTATCAGAGTAATGGGTGTGTATTTAGTATTGTACGCATACTTTTCTTAGAAGGCAGTGATACCTGATTTTCTAGTGCTGAAAACATCCGACTGACGCTTGTTGTTTTTTCGCCATCTATGTCTGCAGAGCACTGCGCGTGTGATGGGAATATTATGAGAAGGAAGGCGAATTGCACCAACGCGCTTTTTTGCAACCAGGTGCATGGTGCGAAAATGCTACTCTTGTGGATACTCACTCACAATCTACAAATAACAGTGGCCTACCGGAAAAATACTTCACTAGGTCAAAAAATATCGTGGCGCCGAAAAATAAAAAATCTTTCGCACATGACTTGAATTAGTCGGTCTGTTTTGCCTCCAATAGTGAGGTAATAGAGATGATCAAAACCGTAGCCGGCGTTTCTATCCTTTTCACATGTTTGCAGTAGAGGCCTCCATCCCACCGAATGGGCCAACCTGTCTTCGCTTGTCTCGTTCAATTTCTGCATCCAAATTGATATTGTGGATGACCTGATGGAATTGATTTTGGGCCATTTTGTCTACGGACAGTGTAGTTCCAAGATGTGCATCCAAGAAGACGTACATTGAATGTAGGTTTCAGTGACTGTACTACGAGATCTGGTATGAGGGTAGCCAATCCAGACTGTTCGGAACGGTGCCCGATTGCAGGCGATACTGTTACATGGTGCATGCACGTGGCATGTCGGTCATCCTCATGTTCACCAATAAAAAGGAAATGATACGCCCTGCGTGATTTTGAAAGCACACACTAACACATTCATTGTGGGACCGTGGAACGATAGTCTTGTGTGATATCTGTAAAATCACAATTACTAGGTCAGAACGGAAACATTTATGAAACAACAGCCCCATCATAGACTCTAATTAAGGTTCTCAGCGACTGTGCTAGGGCAGTCGTTCGAACGACAGTGAGGTGTACACAAATGCGTTTTTCAGGTCTAAACGTATTAGGCCATTCCAGTAGGTTAGGCGCATGCTGTTAACATGTGGCGTATAACCGGATTTTGGTTTCAGGACAACTGCCACTCGGACAACCACCCTGCGGGTCAACTGTCATCATTATAATAATACAGTAGTAAAATAACACCGCACAAAAGACAAACAATGTAGCATAATAACCCAATGAAACAATTTCGATCCAAACATGGTGGAAATGACGGGTGACACCCGCACCCACTTGTTTAATTTGAAACTACTGTTTCCTGTGATGCCACCATGTTGAGGTCGGCAGATAGCTGGACACAGACCTGTGCCAGTCTATATGGGATTCACGAGCTAATCTGAAGGAATAATTCCAGCTTCGAGCAAACCTTATATGGTATAACCATTGTTGCCAGACGGGTCGGAATCAGATGCTAGTTTGTTGTAATATACGCAAAGTATAATAGCTGGTGTAATATGATATATTATAGTCTAATATTATACAGCATAATATTATTGGTACAATATAACATAGTACAACATGATATAATATGGTATATTATACTACGATACAATTTAATATAGTGTAATGCGACATAGTGTAGTATAGTATAGTACGGCATAGTATAGTGTAGTATAGTGTGGCATAGTATGGAATAGTATAGTATGTTGTAGCTTGGGAAAGTATAGCACGGTATAGCATAGCACATAAATAGGAATCATTAAGTCGCCAATTACGGATGCAGTAGCAACAATCACTTTATCGGTTCTCAGGATATTAAAGTTACGCTACCTCCTGTCACACCGCATCCTTTCAGTACACGTAAGTTAAAGGCTAAACGAAGTACACCTGAATGACAAGCATCGTTTTGTTACATTTGATTTTTTACTCATGCCCAGTTTGGGCTAAGGCTGTTGGTCACTCGTGAGTACCGCCTATATTTCTCACTCCGTCGAGCATGTACTGGTAAGATGAAACAAGAAAGAGCATTTAGAACTTGACCCTGATGGTATCAAATTAGATGGTGCGTACTCTACCCTAGTTAACCATACGGAAATGCTGGATACGGATTGTTGTTTGCTATTCGTTCCATACCGGTCAGGGCTGCTGCAGATCTGCGGGACGGATTTCGCTTCCCTTTCATGTGGAGCGTTACCAACAGCAAGGGACAAGGTAAAAAGGACAATATGTGATGATTATCGGGGGCGTTTCCCTAGAATCCAAAACCTCATTCAAGATAGCTCAGTGGTTAGGGCGCTAAGTTACTGGCCGAAAGGTCATTGAGTTGGAACCCAACCTCTGCGCTTCGACTAGTCTTGCCTAAGCTTAGGCATTTTGGTATTATCTGATTTATCGCAGGTCCATTGGTGGACATGGCAGCTTGGCACCGGACTGGCACTGTAGCTCTAAGGTTATTCATTATTCATATTATCAGAACCAAGTCAAGAATTTCGAGTCACGATAGGACAGAGGATTTGTATTGTGGAGTGAGCTCTGGCAAAAACAAAACCCCAGTTCTAGTGCTTTGGTCTTTGCAATGGACTCCAGTGAATTATTTTACGTGATTATAGGCATCACAATGAATGATTTGCTGTAGTAGACTGACAACCACTTGAGAGCTTCCCATAAATCTTATCTGTTAAAGACCCATCCTTTGGACTGCAATTATTCGGAATTTACTCGGGCTTCCGATAAGGCTCGAGATTGAAGACAACCTGTGCAATATTGTTCTACATTTGACCCGCCTACATTTCAACTGTAATTTGATCCCGTCTGATTGTCAGCTGCATCTTTTTTTAATCTCGTGCCCATGTCGCTATATCATGGTTTATCATGCAACCTCTTCATTATAAAACATACATTTCAATTCATTCTTTTTGTGCACATAGAAGTCTATTTTTCCAAAGAACAAGATGCTTTCAGGAAGACCAGATGGATGTAGAAAATACGGAGACGTGTAAAAGTTTGCATGTTGGCCATGATGCAAACGAAAAGACGCCTCTTGGACAGCACTTGAATCCACAAACTCTCATTTATGGGATATAGTGCTCCACCGACTGAGGTCACAGGTTCGAAACCCGTCCGAGTACTTCATCTTTTCATTTGCATCATGCATACTTGAATTGAAATTCGGGATGAAGAGTTGATGTTGTATACTTTTGAACTATAGTTCAGTGTGGATGATCCGACGGTGCATTTTACTCACATACTTCGGGTTAGAAACTGGTCAGTGATGTACATTTGCTGCTATCGCGTATATTCAGTATCTATCGAATAGTTCCATGTCCTCATAGATTCGTGCTGCTTGGATGCTCATAAAATATCTATTCGTATGTCAGCAGCTTTCCCAACTTCGTCAGTTGATATCAATAGCTTGAATGTTGTGAAAGTAGACAGTGAACAAAGCCATCATGAGGTCAAAACTCATCTAGGAGCCATTGGTAGCTAGTGGAGGATATTTCGGTGGTATTTATGTGACTTGAATACCAATATTCTTTTGTCTATTACACTGGTCACTTTGAGTTTCATGGTGAACACCATGCATATCATCCTCGATGACAAAGTACTGAGAGTTTTTTCTATTCATTTACGGCCTAATGCAGACCGGCTGATTTTCAAACGAACACAGCGTAACTTACTAAATGAAAAGCGCATAACGGTCATATTCGCCATGAGGTGATATTTGACCACACAACCGTTCTTTCACTTTAGTTCACCCGATCGACTACTAGCAAAAGTTATGTCTAACTCAGTAGATATCATCGATTGTACAGAATGTGTATGACAGCAATAAGCCTACAGTGTTATCATGGTTTCCTACCTGTGTTTGTTTGTGTGGGCAACTGAACGTCAGCATGACCTATCCAAGTTTTCATCGACTTTATGGTTAACGTCACATGAAAGCGATTTCACCCAGGTTATTTTGCAAGCGCATTTTTCGTACCTAACTTGAAAGCGCCTTTTTCCTCAACAGTCTTCGACGTCATCTCTGTGTGGCTTGGAACCTACTGTCCGGTTTTGCTTGGCTTGCAGTAGCATCTGCCCTGATCAGATGTAAATTCAGAAAAGGAATACTTCACAAACACCACCGAAATGTAAGTCACTTTCATGACACTCAAGTCGAATTATAGTAACTAGCCTGATCATAGAGTCATTACCTGTAGTTAAACGGCCGACCCTNCCGACCCTCGGTTCAGCATCAACTCACCATTTCAAGGTCGTTTATTGCCTAATGCCGTAAAATTTAGACTCGCTAATGATAATCAACTCCTGTGTCTGCATGTGTACTGCAAGCCACACCGGTCAAACGATCTGAGTCGTCACAAAAGCATTCGAAACTAAAGAGACAAATTTATGCAGCGGCTTAGCCATTCCGTAGATACGGGCCACTAGGAGAACCCAGACCAATCGGTTAACGTCATTTACCGAGTCCCAATCAATCGATTGGAAACTGCCAAGAGTAAACTCTCCTAATCGATCATTAGTAGACAACTGTGCTCTACTTTACATGCAACTAAACGAGGAACCTAGTCGACTAAGAAGCA